AGAAGATAAAAGACTTTTTTCCCGGTAACAGCGAGCAACAAAGCGGCTGCCCGCCATTTTGCATTATCGCTGAAGGTAATTATCGTGTGATAGTGTGAGTTTCTCGACCAATCAGCGCGCGAGATTTTCAGTAATGACCTATGTATTTTCACTAATTTTTTTTTTTTTTTCCGGTCCGGTATCCTGAAAAATCGTGCGTTCTGATTGGCTGTTTGAGCGGGCGGTATTTTGTTAGTATCTGCCCGCGCTCGCGGTCCGGTATCCTTTGCCGCTAAACAACAAAACAAAACGATTACAAAGACAAGTAAAAAAAAAATACGGAAAAAAATAGATAAGTCATTTACTGTCCTATAGTTGGTCCGGATAAGGAAAAACTGTGCCCTCGGTCTTGAAAACGTGTATTTAAGATCTCGGGCACAGGTTTTCCCTATCCGCACCTTCTTGCCGGTAAATAACATATATATATATATATATATATAAATCAAAATATCAAACGATGCGATGCCGAAAGAGAGTTTTACTAAAACTTTGTCATTACCATTATTTACTTTGTCATAATGTTGCACTTAAATCCAACGAGTAATTTATAAAATACAGTACCCTAAATATTACTAGAAGCAGGATGCTGGAAATCTTCCTATTTGAAACATCAGCTCTTGTATGTTTTTTTTTGTTTTTTTTTTTGGAACAATTTGTCTAGAATGTTTTAGTGCGATTGCCTTCTCAAATCCTTCAATCAATCTTGTGTTATCGCGTTTTTTCCCGTTGAACATGAACATGAACTGCTTTGGCGGAAAGTACTTTTGAATATATGAAATGTAGTTCCTTCAGATTTCTTGGATTCGAGGGTTTATCTCTGGGTCCTTCGTTTTGCCTTCTCATTTTATACGCGACAAAACATTTTAAATTCAGTTGTGTCTAGTCGTGCCAATATAGATCGCCCACAGGATGTTTCAGGGTTCAACCGTGCACTGACTTTGATCAGCCCGGAGGTTTTTTTCAGAATTCGATCTGTGAGTTAGCCGTGCCTTGATTTTGATCAGCCCAGAGGTTGTTTCAGGGTTCGATGTTTGATTCATCTCAATGAATCGAAGGGGTAAAATCGATTTAATATTTAATTATTACGGGAGGTTTTCAAGGATATTAATAGCGAACGTGTTTAAATGTAAATGCGCGAGGCGTAGAAAATTCAATTATATTCAAGATTATTTCAAGTGTAAGAAGCATGGCGCCATCATCAGTGTCGTGGTTGCAATTCATTTGTCTGATGAACAGAAAGGTGAACTCAATGAGGGTAACAGGAAGATTGCTGTCTCCTTTGCTAATTAAATCACAAAGAAACTTGATCAGCGTGCCAACTGATGGGCATTTTTTCTTACTTGGACTCACGGAAGGTAAATGCATCTGGTTGGTCTTAGACCGTTTCTTAAATAGCGAACATGGTGCATTGTGGTCTAGCTTCGGTAAAAACGTCCGTATTATTCATTATGCCTTAAATGGCGTTGCTCGTACCCAAGCTAGACCAAAATGCATCCTGTTTATCGAACTCAGAAAAGGCCAATTGCGCTCAAACTGCACCGCTTTATATATGAAGATTTTTCTCCGGGTTTTCCAGTTTTACTCTTCCGCAATACCTATTAACACGCTAAATTCCAATTTTCGATCTGAGTTAGCTGTGCCCTGACTTTGATTAGCCCAGAAATTATTTCAGCGTTCGATCTGTGAGTAAGCCTTGCCCTGACTTTGATCTGCCCAGAGGTTATTTCAATGTTCGATCTGTGAGTTAGCCGTGCCTTGCCTTTGATTAGCCCAGAAACTATTGTCAGCGTTTGATCTGTGAGTTAGCCGTGCCCTGACTTTGATTAGCCCAGAGGTTATTTCAGCGTTCGATCTGTGAGTAAGCCTTGCCCTGACTTTGATTAGCCTAGAAATTATTTCGTCAGTGTTCGATCTGTGAGTAAGCCTTGCCCTGCCTTTGATTAGCCCAGAGGTTATTTCAGCGTTCGGTCTGTGAGTTAGCCTTGCCCTGACTTTGATTAGCACAGAGGTTATTTCAGCGTTCGATCTGTGAGTTAGCCTTGCCCTGACTTTGATTAGCCCAGAAATTATTTCGTCAGCGTTCGATCTGTGAGTAAGCCTTGCTCTGACTTTGGTCGGCCCAGAGGTTATTTCAGCGTTCAATCTGTGAGTTAGCCGTGCCCTGACTTTGATCAGCCCAAAAATTACTTTTTAAAACTAAATTTGGGTATATATCTTTTGATTTTCTTTTCAAACAAGGACAAAATATAATTTTTTTATTAATTCAACCGCAATATGGTACTTCAATCTCTTTCTCTTCAAAACATTTGATAGATACTCGAAGACACTTCAATCTAGTGGTGAATTGTCCATCTGCCAAGGCAATTTTATTTTATTACACCCGGCTTTGAGCACCATTACCGTTCTATACACAATCTTGAAGCTTATCGGACTTGATTGCTTCAATTTTGTGGTTTCAAAAATCATTAACGTCTGAGATTATATTCAACATATTTGATTGTTATTTATAAGATTTTACACCACAATTCTCACGCCAATCCTCAATACACTATACTTAGCTACTTAGCTTTGCTTAAAAAATTTTTCATCAATGAATTGTTTGTTTTTGTTTTTTATGTTTTAGCTCAACTTATTTCAACTTAATTCGTTCTTGAGGGCTTTCTTCTTTCGTTGTCCTTCATCAAGAAGAGTATTTGTTCAGTCGTAAAGATTTCTTGCCTTTTTTCTCGCAATTTCTTGAAAATTAATTGTGTCGTCCCTTTTCTGATACGTGTTGTTTGTTCAGTAATAATTACTATTTACTTAAATGCCAGCTTTATTTTCGTTTCGTGGTTATTTTAATTCTTATATTCGAGTTGTTGGTTCAATTCTGATTAAGTCGTTATCCTTTTTTATCAAAGAACGATCAAAAATATGGGAAGAAGTCTTTTCAGTTTTGTCCTAAAAAAATTAGCTCACGAATATGAATTATCCACCCCATAGTGTTCTGTTATCATTGGGAACAACGAACCGCCAAATGGGATATTGCAGAAGAAAATTTTGAATAATCTTAATAATTGAAGTGGAACCGTTATCTAGGACAATTTATTTTCTAAATTGAAAAGTCATTTCACAATTTTCATATTTTGTTTAATTTCTTTATCAGATAATTTTCTCACTTTTAATGAATTGAATGTCATTAATATCACTATTTTCTTGTCTTTTCCTTTTAATTTCTTTCCGCAATTGAAATTCATAGTTTTCTCCTTTTAACCCATCATCTAACTTCAACACTAGTTTACAACTACATTTATACTGGCGCTAAAAAAAGCCTAACTGGGCCAAATTTGAAAGCTTAAAAAAACTTGAGTCGATCCAAAAACGATATGAGAATTTTCTCAAAGTTCCTATTTTTTAACGTCAAGAATCATGAATTAAGACTAAATATAAAATCACAAAACCTTGAGCAAGTTAGGTCTCTTTTTCAATTAAGAAATACGGCTTAGGTCATCAAAAGTAATTGCATTTGTAATATTAAAAACCCTAAAGAAAACCATTTAATTAAATGGCAGTGAGAAAGAAGCCATTTGGATGTATGGTTGATTTGATGCACAAAACATTTTTAATAAATCCTTTAAAATGATAAATGGTAGGACTAGACAAGCGGTAAATTAATTTGCGCACAAAAGAAATCTTTTCACAGCAGGAAGGCATCGACAACCATTAGATCGAGATGAGCTCAAGCTTTCAGATGAGGGCAAAAATCATAAGTAATAACCTATTTAATTGTAGACAAAAACCATTCCGTTGATAGCAAGAGGAAACTGATTGATAGAGACTATAAAAACCATTTGATTGTAAAAGAAAGACATCTGATAGAAACTCTTTTCACAGCAGGAAGCAGCGACAAACATTAGATGATCTTGAGCTTTATGCATTATGAGATCAAAAGAGTGGTCGAAAAAACAATTTACTTGTAGACGAAAAACTGTCGATAGAAAGAGGGAACTGATTGATAGAGACTTTGTGAAAACCATTTAATTGTAAAAGAAAAACGCTTGATAGAAACCATTTGATAGCAACAAAAAACCACTTGATAGCCACAGAAAACCATTAGATAGCAACGGAAAACCATTAGATAGCAACGGAAAACCATTTGATAGCAAAAGACAACCCATTGATAGCAACAGAAAACCATTTGATAGCAAAAGAAAACCATTTGGTCCTGGATTCAAAATGTCGGATCAAGGAAGAATTAAATTGGCTTTTGTCAAAACGTTTTAAGTCAATGATTATGATAATTTCGAAAACAAGTTGCGTTGCTACAAAAAGCTCTCATTTGATAATCGAAAGTATATCCAGAAAAAGTCGCATGTGAGAAGGAAACGTGAAAAAAAAAAAAATTACACAAAAGAGTTTGCAGTTAAAGTTGGTTCAGTTGACTTTCACTGACATCCCTTAGACTAAAGCCTTTAAAAACGCTATTTGTTCACCGCACTCAATAGTCCTTGGTAGTACATGAAGGATTGTTGGTGGATGGACAGTTCTAACAAGAAGAAATGTTCTTGCGATCCAAGATCCAATATAATGTTTTTAAAATCATTTTTTAAACTTGATTTTTTGCCAAAATGTCAGCATAAAGTTACTAGATATGAATATCGAAATGAATAGCTGTAGATACGACGTAAAAAAACATTTGCGATCCGAAGATCCAGTTAACCAAGTCCAGTCCAGTCCAGTCCATCAATCCAATACAGGATTCCTGATTTTCCAAAAAAAATCCCTCAAAAATCAAACTTTAGAGGCATATGTAAAATTTTAGAGGTCGTACATTTTTTTCTATACATTGAAATTATTCATACCCTTTCAAAAGCCGAAAATTTGACGAAAACAACATTCGCACAAAACCTTGTTTGGCCTGTGGTATACATGCGAATGTAATAAGGTTACAAAGAGTAGTAAGATTCTTGTTGTCATTACAGGAAGATCTGTTTCTGAGCGGTCATGAAAGTGGGTACATTGGCCTTCATCGCCTCAACCCTGGAACTGAAGATGTTCCCACATACCACGGTACAGAGATGAAAAGTAAACTTTCCCTTTTATCCCATTTTCTTTCCTTTTCCTTTTTTCTTTCTTCCTTTTCTTTTCTTATATTGCCTTATTTTTCTTTTTCTTTTTTGCTCGTTTTTCTTTCGTTTCCTTTCTTTTTCTTATATAGCCCTTGATATAAAAGAGTGAAGATTGGATCTGGGTAATGTTGATGCTTTTCAGGACCCATTTGTGGCGTAGGAAGTAGCTTTAGTAATATATACTACGCATCTCATATACTACGGAAATTTGTCTCGCTACCACACCCTAATTCGTCTACTGACACGCCTACTTTTATTACATGTATTACAGTGAATACCTTACTGGTAATGTACTAGATCCGAGACAGTGACAAAAGTAGGCGTGTCAGTGAACGAATAAGGGTGTGGTAGCGAGACAAATTTTTGACTTGTCCCCACAGTTCGGTGAGATCCGTAGTAAATAGAAAACAGCAATATATAGAGAGAAAATACTGATAAACCAAGTGCGAGAGCTCTTGTCAGTAAACTGCTCCCAGGCAGGATTTAAAACCAAGAAGAATAACTCTATTTTTCGGATCGAGATTAGCTCTATTTTTCGGATCGAGATTGCTTTAACTGATGTTATAAAATAACTGTTATGAATGTCGCATTCTGATTGGTTTGGAACGCGTGCTTTATGAGAGCACATTGCACGCGCGCGCACTTTCCGTTGCGTCATTCCTATCTATTATTGTAATTTGTATTTTATAAAAGAAATGAAAAACTTGCTTGCTGTGCTGTGTGCAGTCATAAAGCACTTGGGGATTGGCAGAACACTCGAGAAGTGTCCAAAAGCACTCCGCTACGCGTCGTGCTTCTCCTAACACTTCTCTCGTGTTCTGCCAACCCCCGCGTGCTTTATGACAGCACACAGCACGCGCGCGCGTTTTCTATTTCTTCAATATATTATTAATACTGATAGAACGTAAGGCACATAAAATCAAGTGTTGTTTCTTTTCCTTGTTTCCCCTTCTTTCACTTCTTCATGTTCCTGTGTTTGTCAAGGCACTAATAATAATAATAATAATGATAATAATATTAATAATAATAATCTAATAATAATCTTACTTTTATTATATTACTAAGCACAACCTTATTGTCTATCAGAAGGGAAACGCCCACAGTCACGTGACCACCAAGGTCCAATCAACGGCATCGATGCAAACAAGTCTCTAGGAATATTTTGTAGCTCAAGGTTGGTTCTATATTTTAAAAAGTTTCATTACCCATTTATCAGGTGGTAATGATCAGCCTAGCAATGCATCTTTCTAAAGCAGCAGACATGAGTCATTCCCGGGGCGGGGATACTCCCATATATGGACTATATAGGGATGATCCGCTGAACAGGGTATGGTTTTTCGAGCTTCTCGTCATAAACAGGGTATGCAATTTCACTCAAGTTCCAAGTTTTTCCTGAGTTTCCTGTCATATTCAGGGTTTGGGAGGGGAGTCATTATGACTGAAACAATAGATTTCTACTCGCATAGTCTCGCATTTAATGCTGTAGAATATATCTATGCGGGTTAAACAAAGTTTTTTCGATCTCATTAGAATAAACTTCGCTACCGATTGAGTAAGGCCCATTCATAAACGTATAATAACATACATCACGTATTCCATTAGGACTTGCACACAATAGCAACACATTACACCTTTAGCTTGGACGGAATTTTTTTCCCATTTCACGTGTGATTCCCTAAATTTTTGTACCTTTGTTTAACGGCTGTAAATAAGAAGACTGGACTTTCCTTCACTTACGACACGTCACAATCTCAACGTGATTTGTTCCCAGCCATATCGAATGCGCATAATAACTCGCAGCTAACTCAAGTTATTAAGGCTTACTTCAATCATGTCCTTTGTCGTTTCCAGCACGGACGGGTTTTTACGACTATGGGATAAAACAAAAACTTTACTTCGAGAAATATCTTTGGATGGCTCGCTGACAGCTGCTCATTTTCTAAACAACAGAGGTACTGCTAAATTGCTATTCATGCCTTATTATTGAACTTGTAATATATCTTTAATATTTTACGTCGGTTACGCAGGGAGCGATTAAATGCCATGCAGAGATTTATGACTAATGTTGCGATTACACGGAGTAATTTTCTCTGCAACTTGTCTCGTAGCGGCGTTGCGTTGCAAGTTGCATGGAGTATTGCAGCGTGTAACGTACAGCGCAATTTGAAAAAAATGTTGCGATACACGTTGCAGCAATCTTCGCAAAAAGTATAATACGTAAGGAATTTAGAAATTGATTTTTGCGTAGGGAGTAAAAACCGTAGAACCTCAAAGCAAAGGAGAGAACCAGCAAAAAAAAAACTAGTCACATACGAAATCTAGTATGGGAATAGAATCGAAGAACAAACCCGGGTCGCATTGGTGAGAGGCGAGCGCTACTCCTCAGCGCTTTATCGTTCACACTTGGCTTCCAATTTCCGTGCAACTCCCAAGGACGACGAAAAATCGTTGCATTTTCACCATTTTTATTTTCAGACCAAGTTTTTCCCCCTTAATTTGAAAGCATTCTGCAACCAGCCCAGATACTGCGCATTGACTGAATGATTATTTTTCTCCACAGGCGATGTATTGATAGGCTTTAAGAAACATATTTTCTTAATTTCACATACCAAAGGTAAGCGTGAATTACCGCAAAAGCGCAACATTTTCCTCTTGACTTAATTCTCTAGTGTAGACTACCGTTTCCCATTCCGCACCCCAAAGACTAGTTTTTATAGATTTTTTTGGCTTTAATCTGTTCTAGTTCTACCTTCAAAAGAATTGCAATCGGGGAGTGGCGACAATGGATTAGACGATGCATTCGAGACGGGTTAGTATGCTCGAGAAACGACCAGATACGACCGGTATATTTCGAGAAGCGCACAATCTTCTAGTGTGCTTCACACTTTTTGAGTTGGAAGTTAAAAAGTAATGATGGACCGACAGCGAGTCATAGTTGAAATAGCTTTTGTTTGCGCACAACTCATCCATCACAACCCGTTCTTGCGCATTTCGCAAGCCTCAATGCGCAAATCGTCCTCGCAAATCGTCCTCTCAACGAAGTAGGTTTTGAAGGATGTCAATCAAGGGCTTTCCATGGCATTTCATAGACACGCTCTTAAAAACTTTGTGCTTTCCGACAATATCATGGAAACACCTTGACTGACGTCCGTCAAAACTCTATTTTGTCGCGACGGCAAATCGTGCGATTTCGCGCGCATGACTGGGAAGCACTGTATGCGACTTCAGTACGGCTACAAATGGGCCAAATCCACTTGGGGCGTAATGTTTTGTCCATGTTAGACCACGTGTTATTCTCTTGAAAATAAGATTATTTGTTTGAGTTGTATCCATATTCATGCGTCTTCTCATGTGCCACAGTTAAACAAAGAAATAATATTCTCGGAAATGACACGTGATCCGAAATAGGAAAACAGTGGATTAGTTCTATTTGTCGTATAAATCCCACTCGTACAAAATCCGCTCTATTGAATATATCTCAATCATTGGTCTTGTAGAATCTGACATTTACGAAGATCCATCAGTCAGATATGAAGGCAAGAAAATCCTGCAGCCTGATCCAACCAACATGGAAAACTATTTAGTAAGTCATAACAACGACGACGACGATGACGACGACAGCAACGACAAAAGCAACAACAAAATTCATTATCAAATCGGTCTTTTAACCTATATCTTTCCTAAACCTCTGTGAGAGATATTTTCAACAATTTCTTAACTTAAAGAATTACTATACAGACATTTCTTCATTTCATTTTGATTATTCAATAGTTCAATAGTTCAGTTCTCTCCTTGACATTTAGTACACCGGATAGCTTTCGTAAAACACAAATATTTAAACTGTTTGACTTTCTTACACTAGTAGTGTTTAAAATTTGTGATTATCGAGCGCGCGCGCTGTTATTCGTGGAGTTCTGCGCATGCGCGCGCTTTTTTGAGCAATGTGACGTAATGCTGACGTAACAATACTCAGTGACCTGTCGCTGTTGTTCAAGTCGCAAAACTTCATAAAATTAATACCACCTCGATGTAACTCTCATTATTCCAACCATCACTGATTATCCCCGCTTTTTTTCACAGGTCCCATTCCCAAATCTCCAGCTAAAGACGTCGTTCTTTATGGAGGGCCGGCCTCCGCCTGATCTACAACAACAAGATCTACAAGAAAATTTAGAGGTAACGAGTAGCAATGTACACGTGCAAACACTAGTACTTGGGCTTGAAAAAGTGTCTAAGATTTTTTTTAAATTATCGAACCTCACAGACTGATTCAGAATATAGTGCGTTAGGCTGTGCGGGGGGAGAGACCCCGATTAACCCCGAATAACCCGGGAGTTACTGAACAACCCTTGCTTAAAGGGAAAGACCTAACGAATCTTCCAACATGTGATGCCGAGTCCAGAAATCAAACGCGAGTTAATTAGTGTAAAATACGTTTTTATTTTTCCAGGTCAACACGAGGCTATAGTCAGTCTAAAACAACAGTTACTCACATTGGTCGCCATATATTTGTTCGCTCCTTTTTGTTCAAAATAAAAAGGCAATGACTTAAATTATTTTTTAAATTTTCAGTCCATCAGCTCAATGTCAGACAACTTATCCCTCGCTCCAACGGATATCTACTACTCACCCTACTCCACTCCAAGAAGCATGTCATTAAGTAGTGATCCTGTTGTTGGGAGAAAAGATTCCAGGGTTGAGGAAATAAAGTTCTCTAATAGTGATATATGGAAGCTGCCGGACTTTGGAGATTCGCCTGTGTCTTCTCCTCCAAGGACACCTCCTCCAGAACCAACACCTCCTTCTACTCCTCCCCCTGTAAGTATTCACTAACACGGCAAAATGGTAAAACGGCATAGTTCATTGAATATTTCTACCTGATATGTAGAATGTTGGTGGCTTCTAATATGCGATATTTATATAGTACATATAGAACATAGACGCTTTTGATGTATAATAAGCACCGTAATTTTACTCATCACTATTACATCTTTATTTCCACTTTTTCTCATTCATTCCAGGAAGAATTGACTGACGAAGAAGAACAGGATGGAAAAGGTTTGCTGGATGTATTATTATATTGAAATAACTAACTGATTGCTTGCTCACTATCTATATGTAACTTCCTACCTACCTTCCTACCTACCTACCTACCTACCTACCTACCTACCTACCTACCTACCTACCTACCTACCTACCTACCTACCTAACTACCTACCTACCTACCTACCCGCCTACCTATGTACCTACCTACCTACCTACCTACCTACCTACCAGCCTACCTATGTACCTACCTACCTACCTACCTACCCGCCTACCTATGTACCTACCTACCTACCTACCAGCCTACCTATGTACCTACCTACCTACCCACCTAATTACCTACCTACCTACCTACCTGCCTACCTACCTACCCACCTACCTACCTACCTACCTACCTACCTACCTACCCACCTTCCATACCTACCGGCTTACCTACCCACCTACCTACTCCCCTAACTACCAACCTACCTACCAACCCACCTTACTAACTACCTACCCACCAACCCATCTACCTATACCTCACTACCTAATAACCCAACTACCTATCTATTTGGAATCACGGGTGGCGTAGTGCGACCCGGGTTCGATTCTTGAACTCGTCATATCTGAGTAGAAATGTTTGTTGGTTCTCTACTGTTACTCGAGAGTTTCTCTCCTGGTTCTCTGGTTTTCCGTTTTTTCTAAATCCTAGTTCCTCCTAGAAAGGGCGTAGATGAAAATTACTCTGTGTAATTCTTGTTACCCTACCAAAATGTGTAGCATATTTTTTCACCTACGTACCTACCTACAACCTTCTTAATCTACCTTGCTAGTCACCTGCCAAACTATTCATCCACTACCTACCCACTAAACTACCTATTCATCCTCCAACCTACATACATACATACGTTCGTTTTTACAGAAGAACAACACGAGCCAGCAAGCAAAGACGCCCCTTCATGCGAAGAATGCAAAAATCCAGTCAAAATAAAAGAAAAAAAGACTATTAATTTTCCCAGTTTCAAGAGAGAGGGCGGTAGACTCTCTAACATGCGTATTGATTCAAAGTCTCTACGTGGATCTTCGGGTCCTGGATACGCAGCTCCTGTGGTCCGGCAAAACGCACAAATACCCGAACCAAAACAGTACAAGGTACCGTAGTGAAGCAATAAAATGACCTAAATATTATTATTATAAAAGCAACTTTCAATGAATGTGGAAAAGAATCACGACTACGTTCGGTGTGCGTAACTGTGTTAGCATTGTGGTACGCGATAAAGTAGTTTTCGTATGATTGTGAAGAACCACTGCGAACGATACACTCACGGTGTGAATTGACGATATCTCTTAAACCAATCACAGCGCGCAAAATTGCTAATGAACCAGTTAGGACGCTCTTACGGCACTGTCCAATTGTGGCAGGGGACTTCTGTACCGATGTTTTCACATTACGAAATCTGCAATAGTTTCGCTTCCATTGGAAATTACTCATAAATTGATTTCATAATTGAAACGTTTGTCTATCTTATGCAGCCACGACGCCCGCCCAGAATCGTAAAGAAAACTAAAAAGACAAAAGACAAACTAGAAGAAAACCAAAACGAACAAACCGAAAATCCTACAGAAACAAGTGATCCAAACAACAATGAAAATAATCCAACAGTTAAGGGTTCGGGAACAGAAGAGTTTACTCAAGGAACCGACAGTGAATCGGTTCCTCCCAACACCATGAACGATCTTCACAACAACCAGAATATCAAGCAAGGAGATCTTAAATCAGTACAAGATTCGGATATTCGCAATCAATACTCGAGAACGAGTAGTCAGAATGTGATCATTAGTGCGCAAGAGGCAGCAAGGCAGGAAAAGGGAGCACAAAAAAATATGGGACAAGAAACAGAAGGTGCCTCAGACAACAAGACACTCGAAGGTAAGCCCTAAATGGATTATGGACGATTTGAATCCAATCAGCGAAAGGTCACATAGTCCAGAACTGGACCCACTTTTCTGATTAACTGTTTAGTTTATATATCTCATAAATAAAAGGAAATACCGCGCGCACAAAGAAAACTGAGAAAAGTTTTATCGTTACAATTCTTACCACATTATTCCCGCTTCTCGGTTCGTCCAAGCCGCGTACGCATCGACAACCAGCTTTGTACCAAAGGTCACAAAAAAATATGGAATTAATACTCCCAAACTTTGTCTGGACGTTTTTCCTGCAAATTTTCTTCTGTGCTGACATTAATTACACATGACTATAATATATTTCAAGCTTTGTATGCAACAAAACCTTAACCAACTAGAGCAGTTTTAGTATGACCGTGAAAAGCTCACGGCACAAACGCGGTCGTGACACGGCAAGTCATACGCCAAACCAATCACATCGCGCGAGAATTCACTCCTCATGCAATCAAATACCCGAAACACGACAGGAACACGGCGCGGACAAAATTACGCCAAATTCACGGTACTGCCACACCAATCAAATTGCTCGAGAAAAAAATCAGCCATTCAAAATTCTAGAAAGCATCACGGTCGCGGCAAGGCACGCATACGGCACCGAACTTTTCACAGTCATACGAAAACTGCTCTATTTGTCAGTTTTGAAGTAGTTGGTAAAGGTTTTGTTTTCTTTTGCTCATGCGAGTAAATGTTCCCTTGTTAGGATCCGTGCACGATGACGGCGATCAACAGAAAAAAGACAAAACTGATAACAACAACACTCAGGATAATGAAGCGCGCGAAACCCAAGGAGAAGAAAACATGCTATACCTTGACGATGGCAGTGCCAAGAACAATGAGAACACTATGGAAGGAGAAGATGCTAAACCTTCCGAAGACGACCATATTCACCAAGATCTTCATGATGGGTTTGCCGACTGGGATGATGATGAAACGCTTCAAGTTGTGTATATTGACCCAAAAACAGGCGAAACAATGGAGGGCATTTTAGGAGAAGTCCCAGAAGGCGCGAAGATAATTGAAATCAAGGAAGACCCTTACCATGATAGTGGAAGAATTTCTAGTGGAAGACGATCAAAGCAGAAAAAAAGACAAAAGTCTGTGACTTTCAATAATCAAAAAATTGAGGATCAAAGAAAATTCAAATCGTTTTCAAGACAAAATGACCAGGATTTGGAAGGAGATGCTTCAAGGACCCAAAGAGGATGGGCTTCTAGAGATAGGACGTATGTGGTTCCTTCTGCGGGCACAAATGCCGATCTTCAGGAAGACCTTGTGATTAAGGGACTTCGTGGGGACAGCAGTGTCTCTCCTTTGACTATATTCGCTCTCGCTCGAAGTAGAAAAGAAAACGCCGCAAAACAGGCTAGACTTGCGAAAACTGCTCGTTCTCGAGCTGATCATCCTTTATACTCACCCGATAAAAATGACAAAAGCAACCAGGTGTACGACGCGCAAACAGACCCTTACAAAGTCCATGTCATTTTACCAGCTGAAGAAGAAATTGCAAGGCTTTCCTCTCAGCTCTCCGCTACTGAAAAGGCGAAGAGTTTGAAGAAGCCGGAAGATAATGTCGTGAAGTGGTGCATAAATGCATTGAGAACGTCGCACACACAGGTGTCTATTCCTGAGAAACCAAGCCGACCTGGAAGCTCTCAAAGTGTTAGTGGTGCTTCTGATAGCAAGGAGAGGGAGATTAAGGGATTAAGGGAGATTAAGAAAGTTGGAATCAAGGAAGGTAAAATCATTATCACCATTATAGTGTACATCTTATCAACAACAACATCACTATTATCATCATCATTTATTATCTCATCATCAACATCACTTTTTTCATCACCATGTATCACCACTAACATCATCACCATGTATCACCACTACCATCATCATCATCACCATGTATCACCACTACCATCATCATCA